ATAATGTTTTTAGAATAGTTATTTGAGTTATATTATACATAATAAAGCTTTAGTTAGATTAAATTATTATTTGTAGATGATCTCTTTACCTTGTATCTACATGATATTGCATAAATATTTTTAGTTAATAATCAATAAATGATCGAAATTGAGTACATTTGAATGTTAAATGCAAAGATTGGCGTTTTTAAACTATGAGTTAGATTGACATTTAAAATTTGGAATTTTGATTTATTAAAGAAGCTATTTATATGATTAATTTTGATATTAAAGCTTATATTATTATATCTAATTTAATTCATACCTACATGTAAGCATATTGAAGTAATATATTAATGAAAGCTTTTATACAACATCCATAATATTCAAAATAAATTAATAGTTTAGATTAAACTTATAAATTTGAGTAATTTAATTTAAATTTTTGTATACACCAGTTAAAAATTTTTATAGAGCAAATTTACGATATTAGAGTTTTAGCTGTTTAAATCTTATTAAAGAGCAAATTTTATTATTTAAAGATGATAATATAATATATCAATATGTTATTATTGAATTTAGTCTTTTTAAAAATGATTATTGGCGCTAATAACTCTTCTATATTAAAGTTAGAATTTCGAACTGAGCTAATATAAAATTTGTGTCAAATTAACTAGAGTCATTCATATAAGCGATTTATTATTACTTATAGTTCTTAATTATTTAAAAAATTGATAAATATTATCAAACTGTAATTTACTAATAAGCTTTAGAATTTTAAATATTTGTATTATAAAATATATAATATAATTTCATAATAAATCACAATTATTTAGTATAAAAAGCTCTATTTTAAAAGCAAACTCTCTAATTAATAGCATTAAATCTTGGTTTTAGTCAGATTTTTAATATTGAATCTTTTAAACCATCGTGATATAAAAGATTATGTAGTTTTTATTAGTGTATAATAAAATCTATGTCAACTGGTAGCAAGTATTATAATAAATATGCACCTTCCAAGTCTAAGTAATTTGGCTTTTATTGATCAAAGCCTAAATTTTTATTAAAAAACGTACAAAAAATTGAATTATGAAAAAAACAGAACCGTTTATTATAATAATCAAAAACTAATTAAGAAGAATTTTTAGCAGCTTGATTAGCAACTTCTAAAATACTATCCTTTAAAATTGCTACAGCTTCGAGTGCTTCTTCCTTAGTAATAATCAATGGAGGAACTAATCTAATAGTATTATCAGCTGCAGTAATAGTAATTAATCCTCTTGCTCTAGCTTCTGCGCATACTTTAGCTGGGTCAACTCCTGAGTTGTAATTGAATGCAATAGCGTTGATTAAACCACGACCACGAACTTCTAATATGCTGTCATGTTGGAATTTTTGGAATTCTAAACGAATTAATTTGCCTACTTCTTCAACATTATTAAGTAATTCGGGGCTGTTAATACGATCGAAAACGCTTAAAGCAACAGCTGTACCTAATGGATTACCACCAAAAGTAGTTCCATGATCTCCAACAGCTAAGTTCTTAGCTATTTTGTCATTTACAAGAACTGCACCAATAGGGAATCCGTTACCTAAGGGCTTAGCAATGGTTACCATATCAGGGGCAAGTTCAGCAGGTAAATGGTGATGTGCCCAAAGTTTACCAGTTCTACCCAAACCACATTGAATTTCGTCATAAATCAAAGCAATGTTAAATCTATCACACTTTTGTCTCAATTTATAAAGGAACTCTTCAGTGCAAAGTTTTACACCACCTTCTCCTTGAATAGGTTCTACTATAACACCACAAATGTTTTCATTGATGGCATCTAAAGCCTTGAGGTCGTTTAGGGGTAAGTGGATGAAGCCTGGGATTAAAGGTTGGAAGGGGAGTTGATATTTTGGATTGGGGGTAGCAGTTAGAGCTCCTAAGGATCTACCGTGGAATCCTCCCATAAAGGATACTAACCCATACTTTAATTTATTTCCAGTATTGTGACCTAATTTACGAGCAAACTTTAAAGCTCCTTCATTGGCTTCAGTGCCGGAATTAGCGAAGAATACTTTGCTAGCCCAAGGAGCTTGTCCTTGAGGGTGTTTAGTTGACAAAACTAATTTTTCAGCAAGTTCACCAGCCTTTATGTTGTGGAATAAGTTGGAAGAGGCTATTAGTTTAGTACTTTGTTCAGTTAAGGCTTCAGTTACTCCTGGGTCACTGTGGCCTAGACCAGCAACAGCAATACCAGCGGTCATATCGAGGTATTTGTTGCCGTCTGTGTCGTAGAGGTAACAGCCTTTACCGTGACTTAGGACGAAATCAGGTCTACTGTAGACGCCTAATAGGTATTGGTTGCACTTTTTTATGAGTGACTGAGTCTCTTTCTAAATTTTTATTTATTAGGTAAAGTAATAAATTGAATTTGTTTATATATTACAGTGGTGGTAGAGTAATAAACTCTCTTACTAATATTTGTATTTAAAAGTTTCTAAATAATAAATTAGTAATTAATTTAGTGAATAAGATAAAATACATACTAATGAATTCCTTAACATTTTCTAATTTATATTATTATTAAACTACAATATATTAATTTTTTATAACACTAATATTATTCTTGTGTTTAAATTTTTATAGGTGACGAAACAATTTAAAAAATTATAATGTTATTATTATTAGTAAAAGAGAGTTTGAGAATAAAATAATAATAATAAAACTAGGGGAGGGTTAATTATGGTTTAAATACCCTTTTCTCTAATAATCATAAATTAATCTGATAATAAAAATAAATT